CTGCTGGTTTTTCTTTTTCATTTTTTTTGGTTCTATTTGATTTTGGTTTTTTTTTTTTCCCCCTTTTAGCCTTACTGTACAGCTGTTTTGATGTTGTGGTCCGTGTTTTCTGTTACTGAAAAGCAGTTGTCGCTCATTTTAAAAAAAAAAAAAAGTTGGTTAAAACAAAAAAAAAATTGTGCCAAGAACAAATCATCCCAATTGGAGCATGTGGGTAGCAGCCAAATCACTGCGAGGAGCTTTTCCGTGGCCTGCCCGGCCAGAGGTGTGACACTCAGAAGGGAGAGCCAAGAGTGTTACTAATCTAGTATTTAATCAATTTTTTTAAGACCGAGGTGGCCGCCTCGCCATCAGGTGCCTGGCAGAGGCTCCACAAAGTCAACCAAGACCTCCAAAGCGAGCTGGAAGCCCAATGCCAGCGTCAAGAGCTGATCAATCAGCAGATTCAGTCGCTGAAGCGCAGCTACGCCGAGGCCAAGGACGTGATCCGGCACCACGAAGCCGAGATTCAGAGCCTGCAGGCGAGGCTCAGTAACGCGGCGGCCGAGCTCTCCATCAAGGAGCAGACCCTGGCCAAGCTCAAGAGCGACCTGAGGATCGAAAAAGAGAAAGCCAAAGAGCAGCTGGAGGAGTGGCAGCACGGCGAGGCCACGCTCAGCTCCCAGCTGAAGGCCAGCGAGCAGAAGCTGAAGAGCGCGGAGGCTCTGCTCCTGGAGAAGACCCAGGAGCTGCGGGACCTGGAGATGCAGCAGGCTTTGCAGAGGGACCATCAGAAGGAGGTGCAGCGGCTCCAAGACAGGATCGCGGACCTGAGCAGGCAGCTAAACGCTAGCGAGCAAGCGCGGATCCTCATGGAGGAGAAGCTGCAGAAGAATTACGAGGCTTTGCTGGAGAGCTGCGAGAGGGAAAAGCAGGTTTTAATACGAAGTCTGAAGGAGGTGGAGGATAAGGCCAACGAGTATGAGAACCAGCTGCAAAATAACGAGCAGCAAATGGAGATTCTGCAGAAGGAGAAGCTGAGTGCAAAGTTTGAAGGCAGCGAGCTTGTCCACCAGCTGGAGGAGCAGCTGGTGATGAAGGAGGCCAGCATCCAGAAACTCGCAGAGCACATCAAGGAGCTCGAAAGAGAGAGAGATCAGATCAAATGTCGGTTCCACGAGCTCATGAATCAGGTTGCCGAGTCGGATAACGAAGTTGCAAAGCTGCAAGCGAAGTTGAAAATGGAAGAGACCAACTACCACAATCTGGAGCAATCGTTCGAGGAGGTGTCGGATCAGTTCCAGGGTGTGCAGAAGGTGCTGAACGAAAAAGAAGAGGAGCTGAGACACGTTAAGGAAATGCACTTGAGAATTGTGGAGAAGAAAGACCAAGATCTCAGTGAGGCTTTGGTTAAAATGGTTGCTTTAGATAGCAGTTTAGAGGAGACTAAAGTAAAGCTAAAGGCCAAGGAGGAGGCTTTAAAGAAATTAGCTAGTATAGGCACAGCTCCATGTGCTGAGGAGACAGAAGACCTTGGCCCCAGCCTCGAGGCTGATGAAAGTCATCTATCCCAACTGGGGCAGCCTCTGCAAACTCAGGATGTCCTCCCAGCTCTGACTTACGCACTGAAGGAGGAGGAGGAGGAGGAGGTTCTTGAGACCAGTCAGAGGCAAGCGGAGGAATTCGGCTCCCCGTCCAAAGCTGTAGAGCTCCAGGACCAAGAGTTAGTTCAGAAAGCCTTAGCAAAGCCTGATGTAGGAATCTTGGGGGCCAAGAGGCAAAGAATCCGTTTCTCGAGCATCCAGTGCCAAAAATACATCCATCCAGACGGATCGGAGAAAAACTGGACAAGCAGTACCTCTTCAGACACGAGCCAAGACAGATCGCTGTCTGAAGAAAGCATGTCATCAGAGCCAGCTCTTGGTTACCCATCACCGGGGACAAGCGACTCTGAGACTTATCTCTCAATCATCCATTCCCTGGAAACCAAACTTTATATTACAGAGGAAAAACTCAAAGATGTGACGATGAGGCTTGAAAGCCAGCACGGCCATAATCAGGAGACGCTCATCGCCCTCCACCATCAGTGGGCCAGCACAGAGTCTCAGCTGCGGGAACAACTTCAGACCAGCTTGTCCCAAGTCAGTGCTTTGATCTCACAGCTGGAGAGTGAGAGGCAGGAAAAGTTCAAGCTCATAGAAAATCACGTTAGCGAGCTGGGAGGTTTCCAAATGAAAAATGATCAAGCGCTGACTTGCTTAGAGAAGTGCAGGGAGCAACTAAGATCTTTGCCCAAATCAGACAAGGAAAAAGAGGGTGATTTGTTCCTTGTTACTCTGTCCAGCATGGAAACGACCTTATCAAACGCAATCCAAGCCTTGAGAGGGGCGCCAGTCCCATCGGAGTATCAGCAGAGTGAAAGCCTTATCACGGAAAGCCCCGCTCCAGAAGGAGGTTTTTTGGGAGAAGAGGAGCACGTCTCCACGGAGCAGCGAGCGGAAATGTTTGATGCCGGCCAGCTGAGATGGCTTTCTGAGAGAGTGGCATTTGAGGCCTCTCTCATCAACCAAATAGCGGAGTCTCTGAAAAATGCAAGCTCTGAGATATCTCAGCTTCTGAGAGAGATCCAGGGAACGGCTGAGGTGGTTTTGTTGGAGCCGGCAAATGTTTCTCACACAGCAGTCGACTTGGCCAGCGTCCTATCTAAAAAGCTGCTGCTGGAAGGGGAGTTCTGGAGCCAGGTGGAGGAGCTGAGAGTGCACTTGAGCACCAGAGAAGGAGAAGCCGAGGGCAAAACAGAAACAACAGGTTTGGGCTTTTCTCCATGTTTTCTCAGTGCTGTAGCAGATGCTACGTTGATCAAGGCAGAACTTGGGTTTGTCGCACAGAAAATGAGAGAATCTTTTCATCAGAGATTAAAAACAATTGAAGAAGACCTCCACAACACCAAAACAGCTCTCCAGCAGCATAAATGCATGTTGGAGGAGATCATCAAAGCGTACAGGACTCCTGATTTTGACAGAGTTATGCACCAGATTTCTGAAGCACTTGAAATTCAAAAAGATGCTTCAGAAAGAACCCAAATCTCCTGGGATGGGAGCCGTCTCCAAATGGTGCCGTGTCAGGAATTAGCCAAGGCGGAGGAGATTGGCAGCCTGCCGGACCGTAGTAGTGAAGCTCTTGTTTCCATTCAGGAAGATCTTGCCCAACAACTGAAGGACAAATCAAATGTTCTGAAGGAAATATCTGTTGCCTTACTCTCTCTGCCTCCTGAGGAGGCAATGAGAGACTGTCAGAAGCTCCTGAAAATATCTCAGAGTCTTTCATATCATTCGTGCATGGGAGACCTTGAACGGTATTCCTCTTTGTTAGTCCAAGATGCAATTGTTCAGGCTCAGGTTTGTTATGCTGCTTGCAAAGTCCGACTGGAGTACGAGAGAGAGCTGAAGTCCTACAAGGAGTCCTTGCAGAGCATGGACGCGCTCTGCCAAGAGCGCGTGAAGACAGTCTCTCTCCTTCGGGACGAGTACGAAGACTTGCTTAGAAAGCAGCAGGGTGAGTATGGCGAGGTGATCGCCATGCTTGAACGGGAGAACGCCGATCTCAAAGCAAAGGTGTCCCAGCTTGACAGTCAGCGAAGGCTCTTGGAGGAAGAAGAGCATAAACACAGCAAGAGTTTGAGCGAATTGCAGGGACGGTATGAGGAGGAGATTCGAAATGTGATAGAGCAGCTAAACAGGACAGAGGATGCTCTGAAGGCCGAGAGGACGGAGGGCCTCAACCAGCTGGATGCCATCGTCCGTGACAAGCAGAACATGGAGCAGTATCACCTGGAGCAGATGCAAATGCTGGAGGACAAGTTCCAGGCCAAGATCAAGGAGCTGCAGGTCATCCACGGCGAGGAGCTGCAGGCGTTGCAGGAGCACTACAGCCAGAACCTGCAGCGCCTGCAGGAGACCCTGGACGAGTACCAGAGGCAGCACCCAGAGACGTCCCCCGCGGCGGGCCCAGGCGGTGGGGACGCCTGGGCGGCCGGTGAGGCGGGTGGCACCGGGCAGGGCCCTAGCAGCGACCTGGACTCCATGCACGGCCTGAGGGAGCGCATCCAGGAGCTGGAGGCCCAGATGAACGTCATGAGGGATGAGCTGGAGAACAAGCATCTGGAGGGGAACGCTTCCACCTTGAGGGAAAAATACCAGAAAGACTTTGAAAACTTAAAGGTCTTGATACGTTTTAATGCTTTACGCTTTCGGCTGCCGAGTGTACGGGAGGGTGCGTTCGGTCCCGAGGTTCGCTTGCCGAACCGAGGGGTGTCCCCCAAAAGAGCCAGCACGCCGAACCAAGCCCCAAAGTGTTAGAAAGGCCTCTGTAAAGCATGGCATTTCCCTTTTCTCCATGCTGGGTTATTCTAAATGCCTTGCTGAGGGCTTGGTCTCAGCAGGAGGGTTGACTATTGGAGGCGGTCTCTGCGTGTAGAGGGAGGGAAGGTTTCGAAGTAGCTTGATAACTTCATGTTATCCTTCAATATGAAGACCGTAGTGTTTCTCTTCGTACCTGAGGCGTACGTTTTGTCCGTGACTTCCCTTTAAAAGCATTCCTCAACTCTTGTCTTGCCCAGCCTGATCAAATCTCCAGTCTGTCTCTGCTGCCCTCAAAAATGTAAGACGAAATGGAAACTTAATGCTCTCAAAATGTATGTTCCTGGGGAAAGTAGCTGCAAACGGATGCCAAATTCTGTAGCAAAGCGAAGTTCCTCTGCTTTTTTGAGAGGCTGCAAGAAGAACTACCCTGGTGTTGCACACCAGTGATTCTTTACACAACAAACAGTGCACAGTTACGGGAAACCCAGGGTAGGTGCAGAAAAGCCCAGTGGCAATGAAGTGCCTGTGTTCAGTTTGCTCCACCAGTCAGGACTGGCTGTAAAACTAGCCTGAGATGGTACAGCGCCTAAAAAAAAATCTTGGGTTTCATGTTTTGCTTTTGATGGGAGAGCATTTCCAGTTAGGACGTGGGTTTAGGGCAGCGGAGGACTCCCAGCAGCACCCAGGGAGGCTTCCAGGTTGAAAGGGCAGCGATGCAGGCTGCACGCAGAGGCCGTGCCGGCGAGGCTTTCATGGAGCAGCCGTTCTTCAGAGTCGGCAAAAATGTGGGAGAGCTTGCTTCCAGCCGTGAGATCTTCAGCGCACATCTGAGCTGGGAGTAAAGCATGGCTCAACTCTAGCCAAAAGCTGGTTTTAGCCTGGAGGGAGCAGTAGTTCCGCTGCATCCTACCAGGGGTGAATCGGATGTCCAGGGGAGGGAGAGCTGCTGGGGAGATGGGAGGGAAGCGGTGGTGTTCACTGAAGGCTATCTCCTCCATCTCAACCCTTAGGAAGGAAGAACCCATCTTGAACCCCCCGCTCAGGTCACACAGGTAACGCCTTGTCTGGCGAGCCAGACACCAAACAGGGTCGCTTGTACCGGGGGATGTTCTTGCTTTGGAAGAAGCAAAAAGGCCAGAACCAAAATAGAGGCTGAAAAATAACAGCAAGCAATGAACCTGACCTCCCACCTCGGTTTTCAGCTTTGCTCTGCCAAACTTGCAGTTTGCCTGGCAGGAAGGCAAGCAGCAGCATCCTCTGGGCAGAGCGGTCCAGGAGCAGAGCAGAGCGAACCGGCCTCTCTCTGCACCACTGTAGGAAGCAGAGGGACAGACAGCAAAATAGAAACTTCCCTCGGTTAGAAAGCTAACCAGGCGATTGCAAACCTGCCCGATTTACAGATTAAAATGTGCTCGATTCTTCTCTTCTGAAGCTGATGGAGAATGTAACATCAGTAACACGAGGTACTGGTTTGTACGTGCTCAAATGTCCTAGATTTATAGCAATGCATTTACAACACATTAAATACTGAATCTACAGCCAGACCTATGGAGGAGCAGTCACCATTTTCCTCCAGCATTAGAGGCGTAATGAGGAATCCTGCAAGGCTGCTTCGTGCCTCTCCATAGTCAGCCAAGTCCCGACAGGTTCTGGTGCAGAGTTATGAGTTTCAAAAAAAAAAAGCTGAGAAAATGAAGAATGCCTCAGGATTCAAACTTAAAGGGGAGGAATAAAAGCACCAGAGCTGAAAATTGGGAATGAGAGTGGCACAGGTTACAGAGCATTAGACAACGAAGTGGGGGGTAGATACAGACTAGATCTAAGGAAGAAATGTTTTACGCTGAGGGTGGTGAAACACTGGCACAGGTTGCCCAGAGAGGTGGTGGATGCCCCATTCCTGGAAACATTCCAGGTCAGGTTGGACGGGGCTCTGAGCAACCTGATCTAGTTGAAGATGTCCCTGCCCACGGCAGGGGGGTTGGACTAGGTGACCTTTAGAGGTCCCTTCCAACCCAAACCATTCTATGATTCTATGATTCTGTGATGCTGAAGAATGTATGTTAGTGTAGGTCAGCAGGTGTTAGACTGTCATGAGCACTTTTGTCACTGGGGGAGTGAATTTGTCCCCCTTAAATTTCCCGTGGAGTCCCAATGGCTCCCCGGGTGATAGTTCTCGCTTCCCGTGGAAAACATGAGCGTGAATCAAGAAGAAATCTGTTGCAATCGGGAAATTGCAAATCAGCCTGTAACGTTAAGAGGGAGAAAAGCCCGGTGCAGTGCTTGGCATCAGGGTAGCCCCCAGATGTCTGATGGGGCTTGTGCACCTCATCCCCGGTGCGTTCCCCTTCCCAGCTTGTGGCTCGAGCCTGCCTGTGGCTTTGCTGTCCTGCCTCTGTCCTGCAGCCGTGTGTCTGCCCACGATCCCGATACGCTTGGCAGGGCAGCCGGGCTGGCGGCTGAACTAGAAACAGGCTTTTGCATTTGCTGCAGAGGCAGGAGCGGGGTCTGTGCCTGGGGCAGGACCGGGTTGGAATTCAGGATCTCGCAGCTGGTGACTCCTGAATCCCCAGAGCGCTGCTCCCATGTCCTGGCCTAAGTTCACTCCTAGTAATTCAATTAGCAAATAATTGCCCGTGCAGCATTTGAAGCGATACTTGGTTGGGAATTAAGGTTCTGTTGCTGTCACGAGTCATTTGTTTTCCACCCCAGAGGTGGCCACATAAAATCAGGCATTGCAAAAGAGAGCAGAAGGGGCACAGTAGGCTTTTTTTGGTTGTTTTTAACATATATTTGCATTCCCCAATCTGGTCTGACCCCAGACCTACCCTGTCCTTCCCTTCCACCGGAGCTGTCAGGGGTCGAGCGACTGCAGGACAAGCTCTGACCTCGCAAGGTCCATCCTCGGCCGGCTCCTCCATGGTTGGGGAGGGAGAAGATCCCCATGATGGAACTTGGGTGCCGACCTACCCGCTGGTGTGCGGCACCCGGCAGGCTCACCACCGCTGTGACGCCGGCCCCGCGCTCCCGGGTCAACCCCTTCCCCTCGTCCCTTTTGCAGGCAACATGTGAAAGGGGCTTTGCAGCCATGGAGGAGACACACCAGAAGAAGATCGAGGACCTGCAGCGGCAGCACCAGCGGGAGCTGGAGAAGCTGCGGGAGGAGAAAGACCGCCTGCTGGCAGAAGAAACGGCTGCCACCATTTCAGGTATGAGGACACGACAGAGGGTCCCCTGTGGTGGGGCAGCTCCGTGTTGATGGGGACATGGGGATGGCGTTTGCTCCGGTGTGGAGGAGCAGAGCGTGGGGTGGGATGAGGGCTGGGTGCGGATCACAGGGAGACGGGGAGAGGCTGGTGGGACATACGTTTTGGATGGAGGCCCATCTGCTGGTCCTTCCCCAGGCTTGGTGCCCCTCTCCTTGGCTGTAACGTGGTCTGATCCGCTTTCCGTTCCATCTCAGAAAGGTGTTAGTCATTCCTGTGGTTAACGTACTGCCGATTCCACACTGAATTCATTCTTCAGTGCCCCAGGGAGTTTTAAAGCGCTGGAGCCCAGGGTCTCTGCATTGGAAGTCCCACAATCCAGGAAACAACATGTGAATTGGACAATCGTTTGGACTTCGTTAAAAAACGGGATTTGCAGAGCCCCTTTGCTGCTTTGCAGCCAGAGGCACAGACTGAGGGGGGCTGCGAAGCAGTGGGAGGTTTGCTGGGATGACTCGGGTTTTGTTCCTTTAAAAATCAAACAAAAACTCAAAAAAAATGCCCTTGGGTGGAGCGGTGCTGGGTGGTAACGCTGTGCTGTCCCACGCAGCCATCGAGGCCATGAAGAACGCACACCGGGAGGAGCTGGAGCGAGAGCTGGAGAAGTCCCAGCGCTCCCAGATCAGCAGCGTCAATGCCGACATCGAGGCCCTCCGAAGGCAATACCTGTAAGACCGTCGTCATCCTCCGTCTGTCGCTATGTCTCGCAGGGAGATCACGCGTGTGGGAGACCCCTGTCTCCTCTTTGATTTCAGCAATGAGTTAGGGGCAGACCTGTCGTCGCAGGGACCCCTTTCCTTGGTCCCGACCCAGCCGTGCCCATCGGAGGCTCTTGGTTGCCCGTAATCTTTCAGGCTCCAGGTCAATGTCCCCACACTACGCAAATTCAGCTGCTTTATGATCACCAGAAGTAGCAGATGTGCGGACACGGTGCTGCTTTTCATGCAGCTGCAGCGGGAGGGTTGCTCGACCAAATCTAACCAGGCGAGGAGAAAGCACTTAGCTTTTCGTGGCAAGGCTGTCCTCGCGTGGGAGCCGAGCAAAACAGCCAAGCAGCTTTATTAACCTTGATGTGGCTACGTAAGCCCTGTGTGGGTGTGCAAATGCACCCAGTCCCAAGTCCTCAGAGCAAACTTGATAGATCTTAGCTCAATTTTGGAAACTTGAGAAAGGCCAGCCATTTAATCTCCTAGAGAAAGACTTCCATCCCTTTTGGTGCCCAAGCACTGTAGTGCCAGGAGAAGGAAGGGTTGGCTCCCTCTGGGCTTGAGATTTTTCTCAAAGGGAGTATGCAAGTCCTCCTCCTCAGTGCTTCGATCCCTGTTGGAATGTCCTGGGTCGGCACAGGGCGCTGGAGGAAGGGCGGGCACGGGTGGGTATGTGTGGGGAGGGCACTACCCGGTGTGTGTTTCGCCAGGGAGGAGCTGCAGTCGGTGCAGCGGGAGCTGGAGGTGCTTTCGGAGCAGTATTCGCAGAAGTGTTTGGAGAACGCCCACCTGGCGCAGGCGCTGGAGGCTGAGAGGCAGGCCCTCCGCC